TATTTATATTTTATATTTATAAATATGTATATTTACATAAAAACACACTTAAATAAATACCTTTAAAAATAAACTAATCCTAGCTATATTCAGTGGGAAAGGGCTGTGTTCTAGCCATGTAATCCACGGTACTGATTTTCATCCCAGCAGAGATTGAAGAATTAAGCACTCAGACTCTATCAGTCGCAGACCTGTCTCTGCTAGCTCTGAGAATCACAAGACCTTATAAGACCAAGACTAAAGAGCTGTTTGCCTCTTTATGGTAAACAGGACAACATTAAGAGAATCAAAGGGAAAAATGGAGCAGTCAAGAGACCCTCAAGCCAAAAAGGGTAGGAAGGTGGAAGACGAGGCCAAGACAGAATAATAAAGACATTTTATTTTAAAGATTTAAGAAATGGTGCCTTGTACTTGTTAGTTTTCTCCTTGCCAATAAGCATGAGTTTTTCACGAAAACACGAAGTCATGATGTTATCGACCATTAACTCTTTCGACCACCAATGCCCTGAGAAATGCCTAGACCACCCTTTCAGAATTGCCCCAAATGTCACCGCTTATTCCCAACTTTCCCCAGTATTGCATTAACAGTTACATTTAAGATGAATAAAAGATGACTTACGATTTAATCGTAATATTTTTAGTCTTATTTCATTATAAGCATCGAAGGTCAGGGAACTGATGGTTATTGATTTTTTTTTTTTTTAAGTGTTTAAATGTTTAAATATGGTTTTTACTTTTTAAATGAAAAAAAGTGAATAAAGTGCTTAGTAATGCTACCCATTATTTATCAACTCTCCCAACCGTGTCATAGGGAAATGGCAAAGGTACTGGCCAAGGGCAAGCAAGGGACAACAGGGAGACGGTCAGCAGAATATCGCTAGAAACTGTAAAAGGTGCTGGCCCCCTGAGGCCTGTTGCTTTACATATAGGTCCCCCAAATAGCCACCAAAAGAAAATTCCATTGCACTTCAGGTTCCCCTTTCCTGTTAAAAGCCAAGTTTTATTTCTGACTGAACCTGAATAGCTTCAGGGCAGAGTTTGATCTCAGCTCATGTTCAGTGGTGAGGAAGTCACAGAGCCAGCCATATGTTCCCATGAAACAACATGCTGTGAAGAGAGGGGAATTACTGCAATTATTCTTCAAAGGCTCCTGCTGGAATCACACTTGCTAAGGCTCTGTATGAACAAAAAACAACACACATTTCCACCTAAAGCACAAGTTTCATCAAAACTCACTAGAGCAAGATTATGAGAAAAATGGAGACAAGACTCAACTATAATATGTATAAATGCCTTGAAAAATGTCTTATTTCTATTCTTCTAATTAACTGGGCTTCTTTTTTTTTTTAATTGTAGTACTTATTTTGGTATGAAATAGTGTAGTTGTTCAGTAGAGATCTGGCACCTGTTCTGTATCTATGAGAGTCTGTAATTACCTTTAAGAATTTGAAACCAAAATTAATAACTGGGTTTACACACACATTTGTATCTTCCCTGCCCCCAACTATCCAATGATTACGTAGATATATGGGACTACCTTGAGGGAGCTCCCTCACTGAAGCCATACGAAGACTAAGCTCTAAAGCTGTCACTGAAGTTGGCACTGAATTAGGGTGTATCCTTGTAAATGGAATTCATTTGAGAGGAACCACTGGGGATATTTGAAGAGAGATCCTGGAGCTCACTCTCTTTGGAGAAGTCATTTAATCCCTTTTCTTCCTATTTGCTCTAAAAAAGAAAGCAAATGATACCGTCCCCTTACCTCATCCTGTTTTGGCTTCCTTGGTCTTTCCTTGCCACTTGGCATAATAGCCAACAACAGAATTGATTCCAAAAAGAGAAACTTAGATATATTTGTTGTGACGGGAGTTCTGTTTCCATTTCTGCTAGCTGACAAACCCTGAGTGTTTTCCTGTCATCACTAAATTCTGTAAAATGCTGAGTGATTGTCAGTGAGGTCACACTTTTTTTTCCTCAGCTTAATGGCATATTTTTTAAGCAAAGTCCATATTAGGGAACTGTAAAGCAAATAAAGACTTTTATACAATAGCAGATAATTTTTATAAGTAAAGACTATGTTCAAGCAGAAGGCTAACTAAACACAAGTTTGATACGCTAAAAGGAATTGCAACCAACTTCTTACCATCCTTTCCCTTTTACACTTGTTTTCCCACACATGATTTCATTTGATCCTTGCAGCAACCTTGAGATACTTCATATAGGTGTTATTCCAATTTTACAGCTGAGGAAACTGAGTCTCAAAGAAGTTAAAGTAGTTTTCCTAAGATCGCAATTCTAAGGGGCAAACCTATATTTAAATCTAAGTTTTCTGACTCCAGGATTCAATTTTCCTTTCATTATGTCTTACTCCCTTCAACTAAATACATAAATCATTACATTAGGGACAGACCATTAAAATAACAAACATTTTGCTATTTTTTTAAAAAGCTATTAGCAGCTACACAGGCCTCCAAAGTCTGGCAACCTCAGTAAAAGAGCAGACAGATACAGGGTCAAAACATTTCATAACTAAAATCCCCAGTGTGTTAACTCCTAAACTTGACCCTACCAATTATGAAGCCTCCCAGTGGTTTTGATTAATTTATCCCATGTAATTATTTAGAGAAATGTAAATCCTCAGTCATCAAATAAATACCCACTCCCTAGATTCTACAATTAACATTTTATGATACTTGCTTTATTACATATCTACCTGTCTGTTTATCCCTCTGTCCAACCAGCAATCCATTTTATTTTTCTGAACCTGCAGATATCAGTAAACGTTACTCATAAACAATTCAGCATATATAGCATTAACTTAGTTCAATATTTGCTTTTTTTTAAGTAAAATGTGCATGTAATCAAATGCAAATCTTAAGTGTACCATTCAATACATTTTGCCAAATGTATACACCCGTGTAACTAAACCTCCATCTAGACACAGAATATCACCCTTACCCCAGAAAGTTCACTTATGCCCCTTCTCAGTCAATTCCCCACCTCTGTTCTAATATTTACCATCAGTTTTAGCTGTTCTAGAGCCTCATATGAATGAAATCATACAGTATTTATTCTTTTGTGTAAGGATTTTCTCATTCAAGATAAGGTTTTTGTGATTTATCTATGTTGTTTTGAGGATCAGGAGTTAGCTTCTTTTCATTGTTGAGTATTATTCTATTGTAGAAGTGTACTAATTTCTTTAACCATTTTTCTCTTGACAGACACCTGGGCTGTTTCCAGTTTGGGGTTAATCTAAATAAAATACCATGAATATTCCTGTAGAACTCTATTTGTGAATGTTTTTATTTCTCTTGGCCAAATACCTAGAAATGGAATCCAGGTCATAGGAGGGTGTATGTTTAGCTTTATAACAAACTTCCAGAACTTTTTAGAAAGGAGTTGTAGATCACTTAATTCCCATGAACAATGTATGAGCATTTCTGTTGCTCCACATCATCACCAACACTGGGCATTATGAGTCTTTTTACAGTTAGCCATTCTATCAAGCTTTTGTCAGATTACTTTTTGAACTACAAAATAAGAATATTCACAATAGAGAGAGTTTCCATTGTCAAGACGCAACTTAGTCAAAATCTGTATTTGTGTCCTCCTCCTCCTACAGCAGTTCAGGTTTCCTAAGCTATATGATTTGGTCATTAAATCCTGATCTGCAAGGAGTTAGTTGAAAGCAGATTTATAATTTGGTCATTATTTTAAATGTTTTTGGATTCAGCTTCAGCTCTAAAGCACTGAAATTTTGAAGTTAATTCTTAGAGTTTTTTTCTATCAATACTAAGGCTTTGAAATTAATCAAAATGGTTAAGCTCTTGACTTACACTCAATAGAAAAAATAAATAATCACAATCTAGTCGCTAACTCATAAAACATATTTGACTGAATTAAAAGAATCACCCTCAGGGGTGACTCTCATAGACCTAAACTCTGATTAATTAGAGTGAATCGTGTTAGACTAAACATAAGTAACATGTGGTAAAGTTACCTCTAAGTTAAGTTACTTCCAGTTCCCATAGGAATTACACAGGTCCAATTTCATTTTAATGTAAATGTTTCCTTAGGTCTTGTAATCTATCCCTAGGAAGTTTCAAGCTTTTAAATTGCTGTTTTCTTAGCTCTTCTTTCATTCTCCGTGTTTCAGCTCTTACTCATTTGTTATGAAAATAACGCAAATGCTCTTAATGTTTCCCAAAAATGTATTTCAGTTCACTGCTTATAACATCAGATATATTATAACTCATTTGACAACTTGCATTTCGATGAATTTTCAGTAATCACTAACAGTAATAAATCTTAAAGCTCTAAAGAGGGAGAAATAAATTGTACAAGGCCTGAAGTTAATGTAACTTGGTCTAGGCATCATGAAACTCTAACATAAAAGATACCTTAACTTTTCCACTTTTCTTTAAATAGTTCCTTTCTTTCTCTATATTTCAATTTCCCAAGACATTAAAGGGCAACATATGAGTGTATATGTGACTTTGTTAACCAGAAAATTTATGATGCAATCTTCGCATCAATTAATTTTTGTTGGGCAGATTGAATTTCTGGTGGCACCTATTCAGTTCTTCTTGTAACAAGTTTGAGAATCTCTGTGGGTTACAGAGGCATTTGGGAGATGGCACCCAAAGAAATGTTTTGAATTAGGCATTTTAATCTGTTTTGACGCGCCTTTTCTCAGAAGCACCTAATGCATTGCTTTACCTCTCTTTTTCTAGCTGTAAAATAGTACTAAATATACTGGTTCTTAAAACATGTTAATATGGTAGTCATTTGTTTAAATTACATAAAATGTCATCCATATATGAAGTTTGCATATTTTTGGAGCTAAGCCCCACTAGGCACATATTTTGCACTTCTGAAAATACGAATGTTCCATGGCCTGGATGCTACTGTACTGGCTAATTGTCCCACTCACAAAACGTACAATACATACAACAGATTTTTAAAAGGTTTTAAAGTTTTTTTTAAAAAAATCTGCATATGAGGGTTCAGCATCACATATACTAAAATTGAAATATACAGAAAGATTAGCGTGGCTCCTAAGCAAGGATGACATGCAAATTTGTGAAGCATTTTATATTGTTCAAAGTTACAGTTAGATAGAAGGAATAAGTTCTGGTGTTCTATTGCACAGTAAGTAGCATGACTATAGTTAACCATAATGTATTTTATATTTTATATTTCAAAATAGCTAGAAGAGAGTATTCTGAATGTTCTCACCACAAAGAAATGGTAAATATTTGAGGTAATAGATCTGCCAACTACTCTGATTTAATCATTATACAATATATACATGTATCAAAACATCACACTCTATACCATAGTATATACAATTATGTCCATTAAAAACAAAATTTTTTAAAATATCTGCCTATGAGCCACCAGGGCCAATGTTATATGTAGGTGAAAATAGGCAGCTGATGTTGGGATGATGAACCAGCATAGAAAAGACCTGTCTGCCTTAAAATATTTTCCCTTTACCCTCCTTTTAGATTAAGATATTATCTTCAGATTTTGCTCTGAAAAGTAAATGTATCCGTAGATAACATACAAGGATCAATTTTTATTACATGAACAATTAATGCCCATTATCTGTTCAGAATCTAGCAGGTCCATGAGGGAATAGGACACAGTCAGATACTGTGAAGGCTGAAGATGATATGAAATAAGCAGAGGGGGGCGTGTATGTGTGTCTGGGTGTGTGTGTGTATGTCTGGCTTTGTCTGAGTGGGGTGAGAGGGGAGAATCGGAGGACAGCTTGAGAGTGGAAGGCACCTATGGGAGGATGCTCTGAAAAAAAACCCGATATTTTCCCCAGAGATACACTTGCTTCCTATGTTGGCCTAGGGCGGCACCCACAAGACACCAATGAGAAAATAACATCTTTTAATTTTCAGATAAAGCCAAATTTTGCATGTAAGCTCTTCTGAGGTACTTTATTCTGTCTGACACAGTAAAAACATGTGCAGGCATCACTGATGCTGAAGCTAAGAATTTTACATTTCCTTGTGTTACATAAGCCATATGGTTAGATCAACTCTTGCTCATCGACTAAATAAGTATTGAAAATGAAAACTAACTATCATTGTAAAGCGCTGTGTACATACAAATTCTCTTTACTGTGATTCCAGAACTTGAAGTCGTTATTTTTATCTGATAATTACCTCCTGATATTTTGCCACTGACCCACATTACAAAGAAATCAAATCCAAATGCTATATTTAAAAATCAGATTTCATTGCATTTTAAATTAATAGGGATGGAAGTAAAGTTAACTCATTAAGACATTTGATAGAGTTCACTTTTAGGCTTTCTTTTATTTCTAATCTATCTCTAAACTGTATCCCTTTTATTTGATTTGTTTTATTCAACACATGCTATTTTAGTCGCATACAAAATAGAGTATTGTTTTATCAACTAGTTTTTCTCCCCTTAAAAACAAAAGTGATCGCTCCATGTTTTATCATTTATATATGTTTTATCATATTTAATAGAGAAAGACACAAGGACTTTAGAATAAACTTTAGAGCATAAGTTCAGCATTTATTTAGCTTTAGATTGTTAAGCATAATTAGTAGAACTTTATTACTTTTTTCATGACATTTTAATTTTTCCGTTAAAAACATTTGGTCTCTCGTAAATTAGCAATAGCAAACAATAAAGGAAGAACCTTTAGACTGAGACAAAAAACCTTGATAAAAATAATTTGTAAATTGCTCTCTAATCATATTATACGAGGGCCCTAATATTAAAGAGCTGTCTTACAACTGGTAATTGAATTGCTCTTGTCAGTTTCTCTAAAAACAAGGGTTTTTAATCTCTTCTTGCAGCCTAGGAGATTCTTATGGTTTAAATATATTTTGGAAATTTGTTCCAACAGCTCAATTGAAGATGTCTGATATTTTCAATTATGTAAAGCATTTATGATTTTAAGCTCCCGGCAGAACTCTGCTGCTGAAGGGGGAAAAAATTAAGAACTGTTAGTCAGAAAGAGACTTACATAAGAACTGTCACATTGGTCATTGGTTTCAAAGCAGGAAGTCCTATATTTTAGAATCAAGGCTTTAAGGAATCTTTATTGAGCATTTTTCCCTCTCGGAGCTGAGACAAATGGCTGATGAGTGAAATCTTGAGAATGTTCACAGCTTTTCTCTTTCATTCTGTTGCAGCCCGGAAGATGGTGAGATCCATCCAGAAATCTGTCGGCTTTACATCCAGCTGCAGTGCTGTTTAGAAATGTATACCACAGAGATGCTAAAATCCATATGTCTGCTGGGGTCTCTTCAGTTTCATCGAAAAGGTATCTACGTTTAATCTTGCCGGAAACACTGAGGAATGTTGAACAAAAGCTAATCTTTGGCAAAGTGTCCATATATACCATATGCCTATCTATATGCAATTAGAATGAATTTAAATGTTCAGGAAATGCTTGCTATATAAATAGGTAAGAAGTCTATATCAGTACTATTAAGTGTATACTAACACGGATTGTTCTGAACAGAAATTAGGGCAGCAACAGTTCTCAAATTTATTATTTTAGCTGTTGTGAACATGACTTTTGTTAGATTCAGCATAAACAGCAAGGTATGTACTGATTATACTAGGGGAGTAAATGCTATCCAAGAGTGCTATTTTCCTAAATGAATTAAGTTGCAAGAAGACAAATTACATAGTGTCCCAAAGATTTAAAAATAGAGCGAACTCCATAAATAACAGGGAGGTTAGTAATAGATAACCTCATTTTCTGGCTTAAACCATAAAGGAAATAAGGACTGTACCCTCCAGAGTTTAGTCATGGCTTCAGCAGGATTTCATCAGACTTCCAGCTGCCTTCTGGGTGTTGGCTTTACCCTCAAGCTGGCTTCCCTCACATTAGCAAACTGCAACAGTTGCAGTCATCACATCTGGCACTGTCCACTAAGAGAGCGAACTTCTCCCAACTACAGAGAAAAAGTTCTGAGCTTCATTCTGCTTGGACCAGGTTTATGCCTAAACCAATCACTGTAGACAGTGGGGAGGAATCCACTGACTGGTTAAGGCAATCAAGGCCCATTCCTGGAGCTAGGGGGTGGAGTCCGCCCCACCCAACCAGTGGATATTCTGTGATGGGAGACAGTGGAATGGGAAGGATGCCACAGAGGAAGTCAAAAGTATCCATCACCAGAAGATTCAATCTGTATTTTCTTCATTAATTCATTGAACAAAAATTTATTGGGAACTTCTAGAATACAGTGTTTTTGTGCTTGAGCTCAGGAGAATGGTAGAGGGTGGGCTGTGCATAGAAGGTAATCCTTGCCTACGATTTAAATTCAGAGATAGAAAAGGCCAGAGAACTTAGAAATACTCAGGGAAAATCTTAGGGTACTGAAGTTAGGGTTCAGTTAGGGAAGGAAACAGAAAGATATTTCATATGAAGAAGCAATTAAAGGAAAGATTTGAAATCAAATAAGCATTGCAATTTGGAGGAAACTAAAGGACATGATGAAATACTTGTAAAAACCAAATCTTGACCGGGTGCAATGGCTCACGCCTGTGATCCCAGCACTTTGGGAGGCCGAGGCGGGTGGATCACGAGTTCAGGAGATCAAGACCATCCTGGCTAACATGGTGAAACTCCGTCTCTACTAAAACTACAAAAACAAAATTAGCCAGGTGTGGTGGCGGGTGCCTGTAATCCCAGCTACTCGGGAGGCTGAGGCAGGAGAATAGCGTGAACCCGGGAGGCGGAGCTTGCAGTGAGCCAAGATCCCACCACTGCACTCTACCCTAGGCGACAGAGCGACACTCAAAAAATAATAATAATAATCTTGTGTACACATATACATATGCACACAGGTGAACTAAAAACAAGATCCTACTACATTGCTCCAGAGGCAGGAGAACATTTTTCCCAATAGGTGAATATTATGTCTTTCTCCTTTTGCCTTCTGACGGCTGATTTTGCAAGGGTTTCCATCTTTACTTCTGTTATTAATATATGAGAGATTAGCTCCTTGATACTCCTAATGCCTGATCAGGAAATTGAATACTCAGACACACTCATGACATCCAGACTGATGTCATAGGCCTGATGTCTTTCTCTCTCTGTCTCTCTCTGACACATGCACACACAAACATGTACATGCATTCACACACAAACACACATATACAGTAGTATTTTCATTCTTTCTAATGACTGAGTAGGCACGGGATAGGTAGTTTTATTCCCAGGTCTGCACTGGCTGCACCTGCAGGATTTCATGCCTTGTTGCCACTGGGATCTTCCTTGCTGACGGCATGTCCTTAACACCCGGTGATCTCTACTCCCACTCCTGCTGTAGCGCCTCGATTTGCCACCTGGTCTCCTTCTGCCATCCACTCCTACTTTTTGTCTTTTCACAACTGATTTTTGAAAAGGCAACAACAACTCCTCTCTGCTAGTTCTCTGTTTATAAGTAAAGGGGATTTCCCCATCCAGACTGCTTTCTTGTTGCATTTGGTCATTTCATGCAAATGAAATGCAATCACCTCTTAACTGAGCAGCTCCTTCGGTCTTCACTGCCTCCTGTCTACACTGTCAGTTTTTGCTCTGCTTCTTTCTCTGCCTATTTTTAAAAAATAATCAAATAAACTGCTGCCCCCTGCTCTAGTGCCTAAACTTCCATGTACAACTCATAAAAAGAAAACGCCTGATAGTATCTTTGATTTCTCCCCCATGTAGGATTAAGTGTCCACTTGGATTTCTATCTTCTAAAATCATTATTAGTTAAAGTGTAATCCTTAGAAAACCTGCTTCAAAATTATCCAGGATGCTGGATAAACATGCAGTAGCCTGGATCCTATCCAAGGACCTACTGAATTCAAGTCTCTGAGGGCACTCCAGGTGATTCTGAAATACATTGAGGATTAAGAACTGCTCCCCTACCCTTTAAGACCAAAAAAATGTAAATCACACCCCACCCTCCGTAAGAATAAAAGGAAAAACTTCCAAGCCCTTACCATGCCATTCTGCTTTGCTACTGTCTACTCCCCGAAGTGTACACTTTCAATGTGACTTTATGTGTTCTTCTTTCTCCCCCATGCTGATGAAAAGCAAATACAAAAG